TAAATATACAACAATCTCAGTGTTCAAGTGATAGTCAAGTCGTCTTATGTTGTTGTTGCTAGGCAACAGGTAAATATGGACATAGAATGACTTCTCGCTGTTCGTGGACATTTCGGTAGCTAGCATGTAGCAGTCGAGTCCGTTATTTAGACAGTGTGAAGGCACAGGCCAGAACGGGTTACGAAGCTTCCGTGGGTTCTGCGTTATACCGTCAAAATCGCGTTCTGACTTGAAGCTACAAGGAAATTGTGACTTGTTGTATAAATGTAACATTATTTCAGAACTCTTGAATTTGCGAGGTTATTCCAACTGTTTATAACCCACCTGAGAGTGTTAGCTACATACTAAAACAAACCGATTTTATACTGCAGTGGGAACTCATAATCACGTCATTTTCAACCTTAGTATGTCCAGGCTACAAAGGGAAGAAACATGGACGCCTCCATGTCTTTTTATAGCAACAATCTAGCCAGCTAATTCCGAGTTACGAGCTTTAGTTGAGCTTAGCTTAAGTGTAAGACTGATCTCTCATTTAACTGACAATGACACATTAATAAAAACTGATTTTGTAAAGATTACAGAAATTTTACAGATTCATAACTGCATGGATGAATACTGGAGATATGCTGTCATGGCTACATGATGTAAATCATTGTTTAGTCATTAACCCATTTATCAGAAGTATAAAGATATAGAAAAAAAGAAACAAAACTGAGAATAACAAACAGAGAATAACAAAACAAGAACAGAGCAACAACCAAAATTGTACCTAAAACAGAACAAGAAACAGAGCTAGAACTAGAACGTTAAACTAAACCAGAAGAAGCAGAAAATAGAAGTAGAAACAAAACTTAAACAAGAACTAGAAACACAATGAGGACCAGAAACAGAAGTGTTACCAGAACCTGCGTTAGAGCAGAACTAGAATCAGGACTACCACTCGCACCAGAACTAGAGCCAGGAACATTCAAGAACCAAAATCTGATCACGATTAGAACCAGAACAAGACAAGAAAAAAGAGAAAAAAAAACAGACCCTAACACCCAGTAAGACCAGACCACTCACGTGTGGTTCTTCTTGATACACACACACACACACACACACACACACACACACACACACACACACACACACACACAACCTGTTATACAAATTTCTAAGTAAACCTGAAGGTGTTCATTAGTCTAAAACACACACACAAACACATACAAGGTCACACACACAAACACACACCACCTGTTATGCAAATTTCTAGGTAGACCTGAATGTGTTCATTAGTCTGAAGCACACACACACACACACACACACACACACACTGCCAGGAAGGGCATCTGGCATAAAAACTGTGCCATATCAAATATGCGGACCAATGATCTGCTGTGGCGACCCCTAACGGCATCAGCCAAAAGAACAACAACCAAATTTCTTGTGTAAATGCTGCTACGGATGATTTCCGAATGAATTGGCTCGTTTTCAGTTTGATAAATGAGGCCCATTGTGTCAGTCTTTTTACACATGCATACACACAGCAGGTTGGGATGAACTTAACAGAATGCAACAGGGAACTGGTATTTTTTTCCTCGACTGAGTCGGGAAACTATCGAGTCATTCATGAATAATGATCCCAAGTAGATTCATCTAATCACAGAGCACTACACTCATGCAATTATGTTGGAAATGCATCACTAATGGGATTCATTAACTCATTTCCAACAATATTGATCACGTATATTAGGTGATGTAGCTACACTGACTTAATCTAAATTAAATTTCTCTCCTGAGTTCTCTCTATCTCTTAACCTGAGCTTTGAGTGGGATTGTTGCTGTATTTCTAAGTGAACACTCTGATTAATGTAATGCTGATACCCAGACCGATATATGATATCAGTATCAGAATGGAAGCATACATAGATATACATATACAGTATAATGTATTGTGATACTATATATATATCGGTGTGCATTCATTCTGATACTGGTATCAGGTATCGATCCAATACTGTGCTCATTTACTCGTACTTGTAAAAAACTTGTAAAAAGGTGATACTATGATAGATTAGCTTCGACAGTAATCTAGATGTACAGCACTGTGCAGAAGTCTTAGGCACATGCAAAGAAATGCTATACAGCAAAGATGCCTTCAAAATAATGAAATTAAATGTTTCTACATTTAAAAAAATACTATAAAGAGCAGTAAACAGTAATAAATGAAACAAATTCAATATTTGGTGTGACGACTCTTTGCTTTAAAAACAAATTAGCAGTCTCGGGTACAATTTGTGCAGTTTTATAAGGAAATGAGCTGTAAGTGTTACTGAGCATCTTGCAGAACTATCCACAGTTCTCCTGGAGACTTTGCCTTTCGCACTTGTGTCTTATTTTTGCAGCAAAACCCAGCAGCCTTCATTATGTTTTTTTTGTCTGAAAAGTGCTCTCTTACATAATATGCTGCTTTATTTACTAACATACATAACGTACATTTTTCTGTAATATTTAATTTTGTGCTGGAAAACTAATATTTGGAAATCTAAAATGTTTTTGTACTGACTCAATAAAGTCATTAAATACAAAT